TATTTTTGACAATTGAAACTTGTTTGAGAGACTCAGCTTTAGGGTTGCATGTATATGAAGATAGATTTTTTTCATACCTGTCTGAGTCAGCACTTTGTAAAATTACATACTATTAAGGATTATGATTAAAAGTATTTCTGAGATGGACATGGTTTGCAAATACTTTCTCTGTAAGAACATAGGCCTCTTTCTCCCAGTGCTCACTCTTTAGACTTTCTGCAGGCCTGCTGATAAGATTCACTGCTGTTCAGGTACATAAGATAAAATAAAATTGGATGTTCATGCTGGGTTTTCTAAATAAAATGAGATTGACCCCCAGCTATCATCTCATTTATCTGATTTACATTGTAAAATCAGGATCTACACTATTGATTAGAGCACAATTAGTTAATTATGAGCAGGGAAATACAAAGTTATGTGGGGCTTGAGCACAGCAGGTTGTACTGCTGAAAAATTTCCAAGGGCATGAGCAGATGGAGATCAGTTTATTAAAAAACAAAGCAGACGTGTTTCAGGTATGGAAATGTCTCATCATTCTCTCATGCTGTGAGGCGGTACTTGACCTTAATTATGTATTTTTATATGAATTCTTTTGGTTTCATGTTTTATTTTTTTGTTTCCCTTTGGATCTTGTAACCTGGCTGTTACAGATGTAGCTAACTGAATTGATGTTATTATTTAAGTTATCATTAAATATGAATTTGGATTTCAGTAATTATCCAGATACTTTTTTCAGTTAATACACTCTCATGGGTAAAGACTATTTTTGTCTTTCTTACCACTCATTCATTCATTATTGCCTGTGATAAAAATAGAGGTCTATAGTGGCACTAATGAAAAATGTTGAAGATCTCCACATTAGTCTTTTATTTGTGAGATGTGATCTAAAGTACATTTTCTAATTATTTCATTTAGAAAATGGTTGTATAGATGGTTTGCACTAAAATTGTAAAATACAAGGAGTAAAATGTCTTTACTGATATGAAATGTTATTATGATTGGTAGAATACAAAATTTTGTTTAAGCTTGTATTATTTTAAAAGTTATTTAACTCATGGGCCACAATCCAGCATTTTCTCCATCCGTTAATATGAGTAGTTAAAATAATTGGCTACTATTCAATGAAAGAATCTATCACTACCATTAATAGATTTGTGTGGGTGTTTTAATCTGCTAGTGAATTTTATTTAAGTAATGTTAATATTCTTTTGATCTTTCTTATATAGAAGTTTTACACAGAGATCATGAAAAAGTAAGGAAACCCAACCCATCAGTTTTCTCAATATTTAGTCTGTTTCCTTTTGAGTGAAGAGATGTAATAGTATATATTTTCAATCAGTATTTTACCGTATATAGACATGGACCTAAATAAAATGTTCCTTGACATAAAAAATAGTTGTGATTATGAATCAACTTGATCACAAAAAAATGTACATCCCTTTTCAAGTCCCATGTATGGATTTTTCTTCTTCTGAAATTTAGCTTATAAGTTGGCTATAAGTTACATGCATAGGAGGTGCACTTAATTGTTTCAGTTAGTTTAAAAATAGTTATTTAGTGTATTCTAATGAAATTATCAATTGGAAATTAAGAGGGTTAAAGAAATCCTTTGGAATATTGGTTTTTAGCCTTTTTCTTGGTACAGGCAGAAATAAATCAGTTGTTTCTTTTTACTTGTATTCATGTCCTCAGTAATCAGGTAAACCAAGGACTGCTTGTTGTATGGATCTTAGACATGAACATAAGTCATTTTCTTCCTCTTCTTTGTCTAGGGTGCTAGACTTAACCATATGCTAAGTAAGTATTTTAAATACATATAGAATTGTGTTTATATCTGCTTTATTATTTACATTGTATCCTTTATGAATCTGATACCTAGGAAGTAATATTTAGTAATAATCTAATTTAAAAATCAGGTTTCCTTTCATCTTAAGTGGGATTCATTTTATCTTATTAAAACTGTAATTTTAGAATGCTCTGTAGTTTAATGTGTACAATATTTATTAGGTGTTTAAAAGATACTTCTTTAAGTATCCTTTTAATCCAATTTGTATTTTATTTAAAAAATCCATAGTATTTCTTTATAGGTTAATTTAATATTCTCTTTTAAATATTTTAAGATACTGCCTTTCTACTTAGTATATGTGCTATTGGTATTATAATCTGTTTTTTTTTTTTTTTACATAGACATTTGTGTTCTTTAATAAAGTATATTGTGTTATATTATTTGTGGGTCAATGACTGCTCTTGGAAAAGATTTTAAAACATTGTGTTCACTATTTTTGATTAATTAGATATATATATTATGTGCTGTAGTTATGTGTTTCCAGGTATATGTGAGAAATAGTAGAGACCATAAATAATAATTTGATCAATAACTACTTCAACTTTGTTTCACCTTTTAAGTAGCAGAATGATTGCAGACCCTTAGGAGTTTCTGCTTTTCAATTTTTAAAAAAGATCTAAATTTGTAACATGGCCAGAATTTATTGGCTGATAGAAGTTGCTTAAGTTTTCAGAGTGGAGTGTGTGTGAATGAAATAAGTAATCCAGTATTTTTAACATCTACATTGTTCCTCGGTTTCTTAAGTTCTTAATGGTATCTTGCATTTGTCTATGATGTATTAATTCTTACAAATTCTGTTGGAGTTTACTTTGTATCATCGAGGATATTTTTGTTACCAGCATGTAAAGCTATGGATGTCCTCAGTATTCTAATGTAGAAACAACAGTACTTTTTCCACATGGAAATAATTTTAGCCATTTATAGAAAGAGCTTTAATTTGCATATTTATTAACAGAACTGTTGATTTCAAGATTGATTTATTTCTCTTTGTGTTTTTCTTTCCTGGATTTTGACAGTTCCTAAGTATATTAACTACTCTTTTTTTGTTATTTAGTCTTGCAATTGCAGTTTTTATTTACTGGTGAGTGAGCTATAACTTTAGAGAACTCTTATAATATCCCCTTAATTCTGACAAGCAAATTTTGCCTTTCCTCTGAGACCCATTACAAATACATTAGAGTTCCATATGGAGATTAAGTCATTCTAAAAGGTATTACTAATGAAGTACTCAGTAAGGATTATGTTATTTCCAAATGGCATATACTTCAACATTATCATGTAACAAATCTAGCATATAAAACCTTTCTTTTCTCTGTGCATTTATTCTTGAGCTGGTAACTTGATTTTACAATAAATTGAAATCTGGTACAAACTGGAACTCTATCAGTGTAGCAAACTTGTTTTTAAGTTTATTAGCTGGAAATACATAGATATAACAAGAAGAATCACCTGCACCGATGAATGTGAAAAATAAATTAAAATTTACCTTTATATTGATTATGGTGTTTGATGTGAGTTATACACTATAAATTGTAATTTCAAGTTAGCTCAACACAGTTTTAAGGTAAATATGCAATAATTGGGTTGTAATTTGATATGAACTAGGAAAACATTAATGCCATAACTCTTCACCTATCAAGAGCCTAGATTGGCAATCTGAACTCTAAGGAACATTGTGCAAAAACCTGAAGTGAAGCAAAAAGGATTATATTACCCAAAATTGAGTCCATATACTTAACTCAGTAGAAGTTCTCATTTTCATGTCTTTTAATTGTCTGTTTGCATAGTTTTACTGAGGTTTAAGATTTGTTTTCTAAATCCACAACGAATTATTGTTAGGGAAATGCTTAGACAAATAGGGTCACAATATCAGAAAGCAGTAGCCCATACTTTTTAAGCAAGTGAGGACGCTGAAAACCTATAAAAAGTCGAATATGAGAATTCAATTCTCATGATGGATAGTACTCCAAACATAAAAGGCTGGCATGCTGCTGGACATAGCAGCATGTGTTACTTGTATTCAAGACCCTGAGATGACAAAGTAAATTATATTTAATGTATTTTCTTGATGAAGCAAAGAATGTGATTCTTTTTAAATTTCCCATCAAAGATGATTGAAATACTAGTTTTATGCTTGAAGGAATATGCACTCAGCTGTCTAGAAGTCTCAACCTCCTCATAAATTCAGAAGTACTCATATTCTGAAGGTTCCTGTAACTATATATCAAGTAATTGAAGTTCTAACTATTGAAAGGTAAATAAGTTGAATTGACAAGAAAGAACATAAAATTGTGTGGGCTTGCTATTTAGTCTCTTTATGTTACATTTGATGTTAGTTATATGTTATCTGTAATTTTTCTTAATGCTAGAACAACAGGTATTTGAATAATTTGACTTCTAAATATCCTTTGGTTTATTTATAACGGCATAATAAATAAAATGCTGTTATTCCTGTTTGATTTTATTTTTCATGTAGCTAGAATTATGGTAGACAATTTTTTTCAAGGCCGTGTCCTGAGTCTAAAAAAAGGTTTTTGGAAAAGTGCATAAGTTTATTTCGTTCATAAAGAGAAAGTTCTAGAGGAAGAAATGCATAAACTTGTGACATATTGTGTTTTAAATTTCTTTATAACTGAATAACTTGGCTAATTGGCTAACTTTCTGAAACTCTTGATTTCTAAAATGGGTCTTTGGACAATTGGATTTGGTAGCATGATTTGAAATTTTTACATAAATGTAGGTTTATAGTCCCCTTTATTGTGAAAAACAATTGTTTTTCTTTATGTGTGGTTTATAGCACTAATTCCTTCCCCCTTTTTGCTAATAAAGGTTACTGAATAGTAATTTTATATCTTATTCAAGTAATAACATGTATTATAAAATTTTTCTCTTGGTTTTGTAGTTGTGGATTTCTCAATGTTTAAATCAGTAAGAGAAACCATATACAAAGAGAATCTGACAGATTGAAGAAAAGTATCTTAAGTTAAAAGAGCACAAAGAAAATGAGGATATAATCCTTTCTATAACATGTATACATATTTGTTATTTGCTGTCAAATTTTGGTCTTGTTTTTCCAACTGATGCAATTTTTTTTTTTTTTTTTTTTTTTTTACAAAACAATGAAATAATGCAGATCTTTCTTCATTGTCAGCAGGATGAGATTGTCTGAAACGAAGAATAGGTATGATAGTTTATTCTTAGATTTTGTACATCATAGGTGGCAAAGACACTATCAAAATATTTGTTCATAAGCTTTAAGGTGTACTAGGAAGTACTTTGAAAACCCAAATGCATTGAGAGAAAGTGACAGGTAAATTTTGAGAATATTTATATTTGAGAAAAATGATACCACATTCTTAGGATGGTTTTTATTTGCTAGGTTGTGTTAGCATGCTGTAAATATTAGACCATACATTTACAATCTACCTTAACTTGGAGGAAGAGTGATAAGGTATAATAAGGTATAAATTGTATAGGATTGATTACACCTTAAGTTTTTTTTAAGTAATTACAATGTATTAGATTGAATTCATAATCTAGAATTATATGTAGTATCTTATATTAAATGTTTTTAAGCTAGTGGGTAAATGATTAATTCTTGAATTTCAAAGTGAAATTATGTTAGTTTTGAACACATTTGGCTATACATGTACATTCACTCACATGTTCTTAACATTTCTACTATCAAAGTGTTCTAAATGATATTTACTTTGTTAAGTTTATTCCTGTATTTTGCTTTTTCCTAAAACATTTATTTCAGGTTTAGATTGTCTTTGTCATAGACATTAATTTAATAATTTTGTGAACTAAGCATAGAATTAACCATGTTGAAATGTATAGTAGTTTGCCATTTGTCTTTGAAAAAGATAGTTTTTTTTTAATACTATTTAGATATACCATAAATGTGTTTACCCTGCAGGTGTGATGAATGCAGACTGTGCTACCATTTTGGCTGTTTGGATCCCCCTTTGAAAAAGTCTCCTAAACAAACAGGCTATGGATGGATATGTCAGGAGTGTGATTCTTCATCTTCTAAGGTAAGGAGAAAAAAAGTCCATAAGAAGAAGTGTTTTACTTCATTTTGATAGCCATATCATACCATCAGCTTCCTTACTTTAAAGAGAATTATAATTATGAATGACCAACATTTTAATCTAATGCACTTCACTAATATTTTCTGATGGTGATTTTATAGTGCTTAAAATAAGGAATAAACAGCTTTACTAAATTATAGTAGTTTCTTCTGAAATATTTTAGCTGTTTTGTATACTTTCCAGTTAATGTAACATACTAAGTAGTGTTCTAGTCACCAAAGAAAGTCACCCTGTGCTAATTTACCACACGTAGGGAATGGCAGGGAAATTCTGCCTTGGGTAATAAGAAATTTGTTTTGACAAATATATATTAATATATATAAATGTGAGTCAACAGAATAACCAATAAAATCCAATTTTATTTTGTAGATGACTCATTAAGTATATTGTAAATGTTTGATAAAATCTGTTCTTTGAGATTGATATGATATAAGTCAGAGAAAGACAAATACTATATGATTTCACTTATATGGAATTAAAAAAGCAAGACATGAATATGGGGGGAATAAAAGAGAAGTCTATTTTTGAGAAAACTAGTTTTTATAACCTAAAACTTGTTTTTTATATTTATTTAGCTAAGTAAAAAGTATACGGTTGTTTAATATTTTATCTCCAAAAATTACTGAAGTTATATTTTTTGAATGTCAATACTATAATCTTAAATTGTAGTAATATACAGTTTAAGATTATTATTTCTTTAAAGTCTGTGAATAGTTAGACTCCTGGTACTTTAACTCATTTGACAAAAATATTGAATGTATTTGAACTAAGACATTCTGGTCAGCTATAGGTTCATCATATTGTTCTTCCTTAAGTAGACAATGGAAATCAGCTATCTATCCAGGGACATGAAAACGTCTTTCTCAAATGCCATTTAAATACATTTGTCAGTCCTAGAGTTAGTTAAAATTGATATTGAATTCCTTTCTGATGCTGGAATCAAATGTGTATATATGCATACGTGTGTTTGTTTTTTTGGCCAAATTGTTGCCTTTAGATTCTAAGTCTAATTTTGAATATTCAAGAACCTTGATAATGGCCAAGGAGAATGGTTTGTGGATTGAGTCTAGTAATTCATTAATGAATGATCCATTTTTAATTTGAGATTCTCCAAAGGATAGAAATTCACTTTTCAGTGAATTTCAGAACATACTGAATCATGAGTAACCCCAGAGGCATAATGGGTGTCTGTATAAATGTTTGCAGTTTTACCTTTTAATAAAGTATAAGCTCTTGCAAGAAAAACAAAAAACTCCAAATACATATTTTTTTTTTTTTTAAGATTTTGTTTATTTATTTGTCAGAGAGAGAGAGAGAGAGCAAGCACAGGCAGACAGAATGGCAGGCAGAGGCAGAGGGAGAAGCAGGCTCCCTGCCGAGCAAGGAGCCCGATGCGGGACTCGATCCCAGGATGCTGGGGTCATGACCTGAGCCGAAGGCAGCTGCTTAACCAACCGAGCCACCCAGGCGTCCCCAAATACATATTTTTTAAGTTAAAATGATTACGTAGGTTACCACAGAGGCCATCTGTAAAAATTTACTTATGAAAAACTGCAGAAAAACATTTGGTTATAGAAAAAAAACCATTTAAAGCATTCTTTAATCAACTTTATTAAAAAAAATTTTATAGACTTGTGTAATGATTATTAAAATAGAAAATAATGTGCATTTTATTTACTAACCAAACATTTTTGCCCAAGATTTTAAATATACAATATCAATAATTATTTTCCAGGCATTTTACTAAGACCCAGATTTTAATAACAAAAGCTATTGCATGATTTAAAAAATGCTTTACATAAATTGTATTTAAAAATTAAAAAAAATAGTGGTTGTCCTATAGATCTTAGAGAGTTGTCTTATTGGACTCCTTGTGGTATAATACAATTTTTCTAACACATTTCTTGTGTGGAGTTTCTTCCTACCCTCAACAGGCAAATTAGGAAAGCATCTTTTAAAGGATTTATTGCCCTTTATGAATATACTTTTTTGCATACATTCTTATAAAAAGGTTCTGTACTACTATAAACGTGTACCATTTATTCAATTTTTCTTTTCTTTTTTTTTAATTAATTATTTTTATTAACATATAATGTATTATTTGCCCCTAGGGTACAGTTCTGTCAATTGTCAGGCTTACACACTTTACAGCACTCACCATATCACATACCCTCCCCAATGTCCATAACCAACCACCCTCTCCATACCCCCCTCCCCACAGCAACCCTCAGTTTGTTTTGTGAGATTAAGAGTCTCTTATGGTTTGTCTCCCTCCCGATCCCAACGTGTTTCATTTTTTCCTTCCCTACCCCTCAAACCCCTCACTTTGCCTCTTAAATTCCTCATATCAGGGAGATCATATGATAAATGTCTTTCTCTGATTGACTTATTTTGCTTAGCATAATACCCTCTAGTTCCATCTACATTGTTGCAACTGGCAAGATTTCATTTCTTTTGATGGCTGCATAGTATTCCGTTGTATATATATGCCACATCTTCTTTATCCATTTATCTGTTGATGGACATCTAGGTTCTTTCCATAGTTTGGCTATTGTGGACATTGCTGCTATAAACATTCAGGTGCATGTGCCCCTTTGGATCATGATTGATTTGCGGTTGTTGAACCAATCTTGCAGCCCAGGAATAAATCCCACTTGGTCGTGGTGAATAATCCTTTTAATATACTGTTGGATCCTATTGGCTAGTATTTTAGTGAGAATTTTTGCATCTGTGTGCATCAAAGATATTGGTCTGTAATTCTCTTTTTTGATGGGGTCTTTGGTTTTGGGGTCAAGGTAATACTGGCCTCATAAAATGAATTTGGCAGTTTTCCTTACATTTCTATTTTTTGGAACAGTTTCAGGAGAACAGGTGTTAATTCTTCTTTACATGTTTGGCAGAATTACCTGGGAAACCATCTTGCCCTGGGCTCTTGTTTGTTGGGAGATGTTTGATGACTGCTTTAATCTCCTTACTGGTTATGGGTCTGTTCAGGTTTTCTGTTTCTTCGTGGTTCAGTTTTGTTTTGGTAGTTTATATATCTCTAGGAATGCATTCATTTCTTCCAGATTGTCAAATTTGCTGGAGTAGAGTTGCTCAACATATGTTCAATATATGTTATAATTGTTTGTATTTCTATGGTGTTCGTTCTGATCTCTCCTTTGTCGTTCATGATTTTATTTATTTGGGTCCTTTCTCTTTTCTTTTTGATAAGTCTGGCCAGGGGTCTATAAGTCTTATTAATTCTTTCAAAGAACCAGCTCCCAGTTTCGTTGATTTGTTCTACTGTTCTTTTGGTGTCTATTTCATTGATTTCTGCTCTGATCTTTATGATTTCTCTTCTCCTGCTCGGTTTAGGCTTTCTTTGCTGTTCTTTCTCCAGCTCCTTTAGGTGTAGGGTTAGGTTGTGTGCTTAAAACCTTTCTTATTTCTTGAGAAAGGCTTGTATGGCTATATACTTTCTTCTCAGGACTGCCTTTGCTGTGTCCCACAGATTTTGAATAGTTGTGTTTTCATTATCATTTGTTTCCATGATTTTTTTCAATTTTTCTTTAATTTCCTGGTTGACCCCTTCAATTTTTTCGTAGGATGCTGGTTAGTCTCCATGTATTTGGGTTCTTTCCAAATTTCCTCTTGTTATTGAGTTCTAGCTTCAGAGTGTTGTGGCCGGAAAATATGCAGGGAATGATCCCAGTCTTTTGGTACCGGTTGAGACCTGATTTGTGACGCAGGAAGTGATCTATTCTGGAGAATGTTCCATGTGCACTAGAGAAGAATGTGTATTCTCTTGCTTTGGGATGGAGTGTTCAGAATATATCTGTGATGTCCATCTGGTCCACTGTGTCATTTAAATCCTTTATTTCCTTGTTGATCTTTCCCCTACTATTATTGTATTATTGTCGATATGTTTCTTTGATTTTATCAATTGGTTCATGTAGTTGCCTGCTCCCATGTGAGGGGCATAGATATTTAAAATTGTTAGATCTTCTTTTTTTTTTTTTTAAGATTTTATTTATTTATTTGACAGACAGAGATCACTAGTAGGTAGAGAGGCAGGCAGAGAGAGGAAGGGAAGCAGGCTCAGCAGAGAGTCCAATGCAGGGCTTGATCCCAGGACCCTGGGATCATGACCTGAACCAAAGGCAGAGGCTTAACCCACTGAGCCACTCAGGTGCCCCATTGTTAGATTTTCTTGTTGGACAGACCCTTTGAGTATGATATAGTGTCCTTCCTCATCTCTTACTATAGTCTTTGTCTTAAAACCTAATTTATCTGATATAAGCATTGCCACCCCAGCTTTCTTTGATGTCCATTAGCATGATAAATTGTCCCCCCCCCCACTTAAAATCTGGAGGTGTCTTTGGGTCTAAAGTGAATTTCTTGTAGATAGTATATTGATGGCTTTTGGTTTTTTATCCATTCTGATACCCTGTGTCTTTTGATTGGGGCATTTAGCCCATTTACATTCAGGGTAACTATAGAAAGATATGAATTTAGTGCCATTGTATTGCCTGTAAGGTGACTATTGCTGTGTATTGTCTCTGTTCCTTTCTGGTCTACTACTTTTAGGCTCTCTGTTTGCTTAGAGGATGCCTTTCAATATTTCTTGTAGGGCTGGTTTGGTGTTTACAAATTCTTTTAATTTTTGTTTGTTCTGGAAGCTTTTTATCTCTCCTTCTATTTTCAATGATAGCCTAGCTGGATATAGTATTCTTGGCTGCATACTTTTCTCATGTAGTGCTCTGAATATATCATGCCAAGTTCTTTCTGGCCTGCCAGGTTTCTGTAGATAAGTTTGCTGCCAATCTAATATTTCTACAATGCTATGTTATAGACTTCTTGACCCAAGCTGCTTTCAGCTTTTTTGACCCCAGCTAGCCCCTTGAGAATCATCATTCTGAACTCTAGATCTGACATGTTACCAATGTCTGTATTGATTAGGT